GCCCTACATTTTCTTATTTGTTTCCCTCTTCCAGCCTTACCTTTCCTTGGGCCACCAATTCTCGCTGGGCCGCTGAGGCTGCCTTCACCAGCGCACTTGTGGCTGCAGCAATGGACTTGGCAGCTTCCAGGATCTGCTCCTCGAAGTTCAGGCTCTCATCTGCTTGCTGCGGGCAAAAGCGGGGTGTGAGGCCCAGCCAGGGGTGCTGGGACAGACGGAGCAGGGCAGGATGATGGCTGTAGGGGGCTGAGGGGGCACATATAAAGCTGGATTAAGGGCTGTGGGGTGCAGGAGGGTGCAGGCTGCCTGAGGAAAGTCCAGCTGGGGATGTGGGAGGCAGCAGGAGCACAGAAAGAGGGACCAGCTGTCGGATGGGGCTTCACACCTGGCTGAAGCACAGGCAGGAGAGCCCCAGCCCACCCCAAGCTGAGCATGGGGGTCAGCCAAGGCTCAGCACCACTACCTTGGGCTTGGCTCTTGGTTTCAGCTGCTCCAGCTTCTTGGCTGCAGCCTCAATGGCAGCTGCTGCTCCCAGCAGCTCGTTCTCAGCAATGACGGTGGGGTCTTCTGGGTCAACCCACTCCGTCCCTAGAAAAAATGGGAAGCGAGGCAGGTTAAACCTGCATGCAGCCTCACTTCTGACTTGTCCTACCTCCTCCATGAGCTGCTGAGCCCTCCACCCTAATCCCAGCCCTCGGTCCTGCCCCTTTGAGCAGGACCTTTCCTTACCTTTCATGGCCTCAGCTGCCTGGATGAGCTCGGTGACAGAGCTGGCCACACGCTTGGAGTAGCCTGCCAGCTGCTGCTTCAGCTCGTGAGTTGGCTTTTGCAGGATCTGTGGGGAAGGAACAAACGTAAGCACCTGGAAAAGGGGGACCTCATAGGTCTGTTTGGGGTGTGCTCCCCAGGGAAGGAGGGTGGGATCCCCCAGCTCCTCCATGTGTGTACACATCAGGCGTTGTCTGTGATGCTTTCTCAAGTGACCCTGGCTTGTCTCCTCCTGCCCGAGGATGGGATGAGCTTCCCCTTAGCCCTTCTGCATTCACAGCTTCTGGAATCTCTCGCAGACACAGGACCCTCAGCACAAGCCTTCCTGCACTCAGCAGCTATCCCCCCTCCAGGATTTCTTCCCCCCCCAAAGCATTTCAAGCTCCAGAAGCGTTTCCCCCTCGCTGTCCCCACTTTGGAGATCTCTCTGCAAACAGAAGCTGGGCAAAGGTAGGGACCCTGGAGCCACGTCCCAGCCCAGGAGGGCTGGCCCCACCAGTACAAGGTGGCAGGCAGAGCCACGAGGGTCCTTCATCGGGGTGGGGACACACACATGCACACACCACAGCACACACGTGCACACACACACAGGGTCCCTACGCACAAGCAGAGCTCACCACTGGCCCGACTTGCAGCGCACAGGCGGCAGCTGCCCATCAGCTAGAGCGGGTGTGAGTACCTACGCACACACACGGACCCTGGGGTCCCTGTGGACACACGCAAGTGCCACCCCAGCACTGAGCTGGGCACGCAGACACGCTGTGAGCAAGGCTCATGCTGAGGTTAGACACCAGCAGGCACCCCAATGTCGCCTTACTCACCGGCTGACAGGGAGGGAGGGAGAAGAGAGAGAAGAAAGCAGTGAACGCCCTGTCCGGGACACATGGGCGCTGGGGACGGGGGACATGGGGAGGGCAGGGGAAGGCAGGTGCTGTCGGGAGGTGGGGGGGATGAAGGGCAGCCAGGAGGAGAGGTGGGAATGAAGGATCAGAGGTCCCGGGCGGGGAGCCGTGCTGCCATCATTAGCTCATACTTCAGCCTCACAGGGCTGGGGGAGCCGGGGCACCCGGATGAAGCTCCCATGGCCAGAGGAGCTAGCTACACCCAGAGCAGCCATGGAGCTGCTCTCCTCCTCACCCCACTTTACACCTTATTTCTCCCCACCCTGAATTGCTTCACTGCAGTTTTCAGCCACCGGACCTCTCTGGTTTTGGAGGGAGAGACCTATCGTTACTAAATACCAAGTCCCCGTGGAGGTTCAAATTCCTTCCCCTCCCCCGTGAAATATGCAGGCTTTCCCACTCCTCTGCCGGCAGCCACGTTTTCCAGCCCAAGTCAAATAACCCTCTGTCTTGAACCCTAACCATGCTTGTTCATGCTCCGTGCAAGGCATTGGTTCCCATGGGGATGCAGCACAGAGCAATGGACTTGCTGCTGCCAGGGAGCAAGGCAACATCGCATCCACCATCTCCCCTCCCATTCCCCTACATCCTTCCTGCTCGTGGCTTTTCAGAAACTTGCTGCCATCTGATAAATACGACCCATGTGCTTCGTTCCTGCCTTCACAGACCAGAGTGCTGTGGAGGCTGGGTGGGGGGTGTCATGGCTTTATCCTGGACTTGCATGGGGCCATCCCAGTAAAGTCACAAGAGCTGCATGTGGCTCCGAGTCCCACACAGCGATGGCTGGTTTGCCCTCATAAGCGCATCCAGACTAGGTGCCATGTTATTAAGTCTGCTATCTGCTCTGACAATGTGTTCAAAACTGCTAAGTGGTCTCTGTCTGGAGCTGAAGGCATCCTGGAGGCTACGAGCTTACTAAGATGCACCTCCACTGAACATTTCATGGGATGCACCCATGTATGATATTCAAGAGATGTTGCATGGCAGCTGGACAGTTACACCCAAAATACAGTGGAATAGCATGTTCCTGCAAGTAGGCTGACCTCAGGCACTGCCACACCAAGTCATTAGTGCAATCATCTGTTAACAACAGGTCAGCCAGAGAATTTCTCCTCAGCACTCCAGCCTTGGCTGCCATGGCTTACACGTGGCTAAAGCATCTTCCAGACAGACATTTGATGTAGATGCAGAGGACAGAAAACTCACTGCTCCCCTTGGAACTGTACCCCAACTGGTCACCTCCTTTGGATAAAACCACCCTTTGACTTCCCCTCCACCCAGCTTCAATTTCTAGCCATCGACTCCTCCCCACCTCCTCTTTGTGCTGCCAGTCCTGGTTACCCTCTGCTCAAAGGGGCTTTCCCTGCAGGAAACCACAGTCTGAGCTCCCCCGCCCTCTATCTGCGGACCCTGAGCGTCAGATTCTCACCAAGCCCTTCTAACCAGCTTAGCGAAACCTTGCCACAGAGCTGACTCGCCCTCAATCTTTGCCCTGACCCCAGTTCGAGGGCTCTCACAGCTCTGCGGGCTGGGTGTGCGCATCCTTCCAGTGCCCTTGACTCCACCTCTGTGGTCTCGCTAAGAATGCAAACTGCTGGAAGGATCCTTTCCACCACTCTACAGTCTTAATTTGCTTCTTGTAAACTACACTCAACTTGTAGGAGAGCTAATTAAAGCAGCCAGCTGAAGTCCTCTGGAGGATTCTGATGGAGGAAGACTGGATCAAAAGGGTGCAGCTGGCGCTTGCAGTCATCACCTCTGCTGTCGCAGGCACTGCCCATCTCCCACTCTGCTGAGAGCTTAACAAGCTCTGTCTTCACACTTCCTGAAGTCTCTTACTCCCACCACTTTTACTGGAAGCTGCTTCAGGATTTTGCTCCTATGTTATCAAATCTCCAGCCTCCATCTGTTTACGTCCAGTTAATCTCCATCTGTTGTTAGCCAAATATCTTTCCTCAGAGCCTGTTCATCTCTCTGACATCTGCTTCCACGGCAGGGGCTTGGCCACGTGCTGTGCCAGCACAGGCAGTGAAAGGGGGCTGTGCAAAGACCTCAGTGGGAGGAGGTGCAGAGCCCAGAGGCCCTTGGGGATTTGGGGAGCACCCTGGCATCCACAGGCAGCCTCTGCCCACCCTGGGAACTGGGGCAGGGACACTCACCACCAGCACGTGCTCCAGCAGCTCCAGGTAGCCATCAGCACACTCCTTGCCGAAGCGCAGCGCCCGCTGCCGCACATCCCCGCTCACCTCCGGGTGGTAGGCGGCTTCCTGAAACCCAGAGACAGGGAAGCCCCGATTCACATCCAGCACCATCCCTGCCAGCACACACAGCCACCCACAAACCCATGCTAGACCCACGTCCCCTCCCCACCCCACCTTGCAGGCACGCAGCATATCTGCGATGGCACGGCGGCTTAGGTTGGCTGTTGCGATGACATCCTCCTGCCGACACGAGTTGCCAGCGGCCACCGCTTTGGCTGTGGCCATTGTGATGCCTTTTGTCATACGGATGAAGTCCTCCGGGGTGGAGACCTTGGCAGGAGGCACCGGGGAGGAGAAGACCTGCAAGGCGAGAGACGGCGGTGAGGCACAGGGCAGCCGGCGAGCGGGACAGCAGCCGCAGCACCGCAGCTGTACTCACTGCCAGCTCTTGGCGTATGTGCTCTATCGTGGCCTCCAGCGCCCTCGTCCCCTTCGTGGCCTCGTCCTCAACAGCCTTCACTGTCTTCAGCAAGGAAGTGACATTCGTCACCATCACCTGTGGAAAGGAGGAGAGAGCCAGGTGAAGCCCCACACAAGCTCTGGGCTGCTGCTGGCACCTGTCCCTCCCTCGTGGTTTGGTCCAAAATGGCCCTGTCCCCATACTTTACTCATTGCACCTCATCTTGTTGTCCCACCAACGCCTCCTCTGCACGTTGTGCCCCACCTTTTATGTGCCCCTTCCTCCCTACCTTGCCCTGACTGCCCCTCAGCTGTCCTCCTGCTCGCAGACAGAGAAAGAAGCCCCCCCGCTCTTTCTCCAGCCCCCTCTGCCCCATCCCCTCCTTCCCATCATGCCCAGCTCAGACCTTGGCAGAGTTCTTCAGCTGGTAGACAGCAGGGTCATCCCCAGCTTTGCCAGCAGCTGCCTTGGTGGCACCGATCAGGTCCCCGAGTGCCTTGGCGACATCCTTCACAGCATTGATCAGCACTACCTGAGGAGAGCAAGACCAGGACCACAGCTTGGCTACAGTCACACTCAGCCTGGGGCTGCTGTGGCCCAGCAATGGGAAATTTGGGAACCCCAGGACACAGAGTATACACGTATACATTATACAGCGCAGCCAGCACAAGCCAAAGCCCAGCCAGCCCTCTCCATGACTCGCAGAGTCCAGCCCAGAGCACCACACAACACCTTCAACCCTCAGCCCCTTCAAGCAAGTTACGAGCAGCCTCCGTTCACCCCACACCTCCCAACCCACCTGAGTCTCTGGGTCTTCAGATCCCAGGCTGGCTGCACCCAGTTTCACCACCTCTGCCAGGCGGGTGATGGTGGACACAGAGGACTGGGCAGCCTGGGCTAGCTTCTCCTGGCTGGCCGTGGCGTTCTGCACCAGCACCTTGGTGTCCTCCACCAGCGCCTTGGCTGTCTTCAAGATGCCCTCCCTGGGGAGAAGAAGGGAGTCAGAGAGGACACAGCCCTCTACACGCACACATGGTCCTTGGGGTGTAGAGAGACTGTGGACCCTGCCTTCTGTATGTACAAGCTGGAGGGGAAACAGAGTCAGCATGACCTGAACTTGCAGCTCTCCTTGGAGCTGGTCCACAGCTCAGAAAGATGGGAGACCACGGGACACAGTCTGACCCCACTGTCTCTGGCTGAACAGAGGCCGGATGAGGTGCCTGGGTACCTGTGGTCAGCAAAGGTCTCCGAGTTCTCCCGGTTGAGGGTTCCTGCCGTGGCAAACATGATGGTGGTGTCGAGGTCAGCAATGATGCCAGAGACGGCGCTGGCTGCTGTGATGCAGGCTTGCGTCCCGCGGTTCCCAGCCTGCAGGGCTGCCAGCACGTGAGACACCTGCGGGGTACGAGTAGGGTGACTGGGGAGCAGAGCAGGTTCAGACAACTCCAACCACACACATCCTCTGACACTTGCCAGGATGGAGCCACATCACACCAAGGAGGGGAATTGGGAATCACGTGGTCTGGACACCCTTCTTAGCTTCTACGTATTTATTTTTTACCCTCTACCTATTGTGTTTGGGGGTCCAGGAGATATTGGACTCTGATAGTTTCCAAATGAATAAGGTTTGCATGATGGGCATCAGAACATCGCAGCTCATTCCTTCTTTAGCTGCTAAACACAATTTCTGTACTTGGGCAAGCACTCGTAGGAGAGCAAGTTTCCTGATGGAACAATCTTGGAAAGGAAGGACCTGCAGGAGGTCCTGAGCATGCAGGCATGTGCCAGGCACTATGAACAAGTGCTTTGCTTTTGTACTCTTGCTTACAAGCCTTGCTGCTCTATCACTGCCTTATCAACTGGAGTTTTTTAGCCATGTTTTCATCTGTTATTCCAAAGTATGTTCTTTAGATTGACTCATGGACAGGATGCTTTCCACCACACCAGCAAAAGATGAAGGGGATATTGATCACACAGCACAAGCTGCAGGTTTGCTGGAGACACAGCAAACGCTATGCCCACCACTGCAAGAGCTAATTTGGAGAGCCTTGTGCTGCCACTAGTGTGCAGATCAGTCTCCCTTGGCAGGCCATCACCAGTACGTCGGCAGGCAGCACCTGGACATCGCACTCACCCATCACAGCACAAGCTGCTGTTACAGTGCCTGGAGAGGGGGATCCACCAGCCAGGCAGGGGATCATGGCTGAGAGAGCCAGCAGAGCCCAACAGGACCCAGCATGGTGGCTTCAAGGGCACATGGCTCAACCCAGCATCCCTCCCACCTTGCTATGCTGTTGCGCCTCTCTCCGGGCTGCTCACCTTCTCAGAAACCTTGCGCGCACTCTCTATCAGCTCCTTCTTGGTGTAGGCATCGTTGGGGCTGCACTGCAGGGCTCCAGCTTTGGTGACCAGGGCGGCGCAGCCATGACCCAGCTCCTGCACCCGGCGCTTGATGTGGGAGCCGATCTAGAGAGGAACGCATGTGTGAGAGAGGCAGCAGGGAGCTAAGCCCGGCACCTGTGATACTCACTGGGAAACACACGCCACTCCCCCAGCCCCTCCCTCCCAATCCTCCCACTTAGGAGAAGGAAAAAGTAAACATGGCTTTGCTCCACATTTCCACTCCGTGTTGCAGGGGAGGTGTGAATGCTGCCTGCCCCAAGCTCTGACAGGAGGTTCAAGTGCCCCTGTCCTCTGCTCTCACGCCCCAGGAGACCCTGCTCTGCCCCACTGCACACTCCAGCACTTCCCCCCCATGCTCGCACCTCCTCGTTCTCAGCGGTGAGCGCAGCTGGCTTGGCCTCTTGTGCCAGCTGCCCATAGTCATTGGTGAGTTGGTTAGCCAGTATGCCCAGCTCGTCCGGGTTGGTGGTGGATTTGGTGACCTGCCGATGGGAGAAGAGCAGGAGTTGGAGGGGCCCTATGCTGGGACAGGCAAGCAAGGAGGGTGGTCACCTGCCTGGGCGGCAGGCAGCGCTTTCTGCAGCGACAACCCACCATCTCCTGCACAGTCACTGCGATGGCCTTGGCCGTCTTCACCATCGTGGTCTGGTAGTCCACAAAGGTCCCCTCTGGCTCGCCCATCGGCCCCTCGTCCAGCTGCAAGAGACCATCAGGAGGCTCTGGCTCCAGCTCCAGCCCAAAAACCCTGTAGGGTTTGACCCTGACTCTTCCTCTCTCCCACCCCCAGCCCTGGCCAGGTCCTCTCCATGCTCTCCTCACCTGGTTGATGGCCTGGGTGATGGAGTCCACCATGCCCCCCACAACACCTGCAGCACTGGCTGCCTCATTCAGGGTGGTGGTCAGGTCCTCCACCGCTTCCTTCATCATCTGCACGGCCTCCTCCAGTGCCTCCTGTGTGTGGGCAGCTTGCTGCAAGGACGAGACACAGTGAGGGAAGGCGGGCAGCGGCACCCCTCCCAACAGGGATGCTGCACACTTACCCCAGGTTTCCGTGGCTGGCACACACATGTGCACCATGCAGCACCCACATGTGAAGGGGAGCATGCCACTGACATGTGCCCCTCCTGCTCACCTTGGGGTTCCCACCAGCCTCCTTGGCCGTGTACAGCATCTGCAGGGCAGACTCGGCCAGTGTTTTGGTCTGGTCCAGGAGGTTCATCTGCTGCTGGTGGTTGGGTGTTTTGGAGGCAGCGCCAATAGCTGCCATAATGAGTGGCTCAAAGTACTGAGCCATCTGGGACACCTACGGAAGAGCAGCATCAGCACCAGCAGCTTCCAACCCCGGCTGCCTCGTGCCTCTCCTCCCGCCATGAGCTCCTCCGTGTGCACTGAGCGCCTTGTCAGCAGCTCCCCATCCCCATGTTACCTTGTGCCCCAGCTGCGAGGCCTCGGCCCGTGCCGCGCTGGCCACGGGCTCAATCAGGTTGCTGATCTCCTGGACAGCCGTGATCATCTGGTTGTGCAAAGCCTGTTGCAAAGAGAGGGCACTGCATAAGGCTGCAGCATGGCTGGGGTCACCATGCGCCACTGGGAGCCAGGGGGAAGGGTGCCCGCCCCCATTAAACTTGCAGCAGCACATCCCTGACCCACCTCCTGGGAGATATCTTCTCGGGGGGCCAGCTGCTGGCTGATGGCAGCGAGGGAGGCCTGGTCCACCTCCCGCATGCATCTGTTCAGGACCTCAATGGCCTCATCACACTCCCGCTGTCCTGGAGCTTTGTCCCTGTGTGACAGATGGATCAGCCCAGTGCTGGCAAGTGCTATGCCATCCCTTCACCCCCAGCCTCGGGCTGGTGCCGGTGAGGGGCAGGACCCCTCTCCTGGGCTTTGGGGCAACCCAGCATCGTAGGGCCTGGGCATGCTGCCATGCGTTCCCATCAACCCATGCCAGGGCTGGAGGAGCAGCTCCCATGAAGGACAAAAGGGACGGCATCTCCCGTCCCATTCCTCGCCTCCCCCCGCCAGCAGCAGCCAAGGACATGATGAGCCAAAACAACCCCCAGGGGTGCTCGCTCAGAGCAGGGGCACCTGCGAGATGAGCCAAAACAACCCCAGGGGTGCTCGCTCAGAGCAGGGGCACCTGCGAGATGAGCCAAAACTCGCTCAGAGCAGGGGTACCTGTGAGCAGGGACAGGGCCACTGTCAAGTGGGCAGGACTCTCCTCACCTCATGTTGGTGATCAGTTTCTTGATGGAGTCCGAGACAGTGCGAGAGTGGCCAGCCAGCACCGACCACTGCGGTGGGTCCTTGGGGTTGACAGCCAGAGAGCGGGCAGTCTGGATGAGGCCAGCAGAGCTCTCCAGCATGGTCTTGGCTGAAGACACAATGGGCTCCATGGCTCTGCGCCCCTGCACAGGGAGACGATGGGCTGGTGAGGCAAGGGACTGTGCATGGGAAGTTACTCCCTCCCCTGCGACCCTCACCCTGGAGCAGCCCCTTGAAGCCCAAGACTTGCTGCCACCTGCCCATCACAGTCCCCCAAGGCACCAGCCCCGCACTGGGACCCCATCCCAAGCTCAGGGTGAGGAACAGCTCCTCCCCACCCTACAGCAGCCCCTGTCACAGCCAGGCCACATCCTCCCTGCCCCTGCAGCATCCCACCTCCGGGCTGATCTGGGCAGGAACAGTGGCAAACTCCGGGTTGGAGGCAAAGGCCGTTAGGTTATCCACAGCCTCTATGAGAGGGGCAGTGGCGGCACGGCACCGCTCCCGGTTCTCCTCGTTGAACTCGCCATCCAGAGCCTGGCGTGGAGAGACCAGAGCAGTTATCCAACCCCAACCATGCCCCAAATCCCAATCCTACCACTGTGCCCCGACAGGGAGAGCGCACCTTGATGGTCTTCACCAGGTTGGCCGTGCTGTTGGCCACCTCCTTGGCTGACTGGACAAACTGGCGCTTGGCCACAGGGTTGGCAGTGCGGGAGGAGGCCAGGCGGCATGTGTTGCACAGGGCCGAGGTGTGCTTCGCTACAATGGTGGCTGCTGACAGCACCTGCAGGGAAGAGCAGGTTAAGGCGGGGTCCACTGTGACTCCCCATCCCACAGTTCTCCCTTTCCACCGGCCCCCCACATGGGGCACCACTGACCACAGGGGTCCTCCTGGGATCCAAGAAGGATCGCCAAGGTCCTGTGCACCCGTAGAGCCCCCCATCTGGACTGTCCCCGCTGCACCAAAGCTGCCAGCTGGTTCCCAGTACAGCTGATGGGGCCTGATGAGACACTAGCCATAATCTTGACCAGCTCTTGGGATGCAGCTCTTCCAGCTAGCCTCACATTCCCTTTTGTGCAAAAAAATGCCCGTAACGGTGCCCCATCTCATGCTCACCTGGGACTGGGTGCAGGCAGGGTCCACCAGGTTCTGGCAGGCCATCTGGATGGCTTGGTTAGCTCTGGCAAACTGAGTGGGGTCTACCAAGCCCTGCTGTCCAGCCTGGCTGTTGGGGTCTGAGACCCCAACAAGGTAGGCAGCCTAGGAGCAAGAGAGAGGCAGTGAGAGAGAGCTTGCACATGGTGGGGAGGCTCAGAGCAGGCACAGGCTGCAGAGGAGGCTGGCAGCACCATCCCACAGGGCCAGGCTTGGAGGGGCAGGGAGAAGGGTGCATACGGTGACTATGCACCAGGGATAATGCTCAGGGCTGGGACCAAGCATGTCTCACCTGGGCAGCTGCCTCCGTCAGCCCGCAGAGAGCTTTGGAGGCGGCACTGATGGAATCGCCAAACTCGGGCAGTTTGCTGTTCTTGGCGTTCTGGGAGATGCCAGCCATGGACTCGCCCAGCACCTGCAGGATGCACCACACACTGGTTATGGAGACCACCTCCCGCAGTGCTCCCAGGGTCAGAGCTCACTGTGCTTCCTCGACAGGGGAGGAGGCACTTTTCACCTTTGCCTCCACATCCTTCCCAAACCCCCCATCCTTCCCCAAACATTCACCCCCAGCTCAGGGCTCACCTTGGAGTTCTCCATGACGCTGTCGAGGCAGTTGAAGTAGGACATGTCGTTGACAGTCTGGGTGGGGTTCTCCAACAGCTCCTTCACAGTCTGCAGGGACACAGGTGTCACATCCAGGGGAAGAGGCTGTGCCCTCCACTTGCACCTCCTCTTTGCTCCCTCCTGCCCCTCACAGCGGGGTGCAGCTCCCCCCTCCCCACCATCTCAGCACCCAGACATCTCAGCCCCTCCACTGTCTCGTCAAGACATGGCTTCCCACCTCCAGCTCCCGCAGGGCGTTGTCACACTCCTTCTGGCCCGGCGCCTGCTGGGTGCACATGGTGATCAGCTGGTTAATGCTGTCAGTCACGGCCCTGCCGGGAACAGGGGAGAAAGACCCACAGATCAGAGCCAGCTCTGCCACCTGGACCCACTGCTACAGCAAACAGCTCACAGGGAGCGGTTCCTCCTACCGTGCTGCTGCCGCCAGCTGATTCTTGAGGTTGGGGGCCGTGGGGTCGGCGGAGAGCGCCTTTGCAGCCAGCAGCAGCTTGCTGGAGGACATGGAGATGCTCTTCAAGTTCGACACCACCTGTGCCTGGTCTTCCTTATTCTGCAAGGAGCCAAGAAGAGTTACCTGCACCAGGTTTCCAAGCTCCACACCCACCCCGGGTCTTCGGTGGTTTTCCAGCTGAGCCGGTTCCCTTCATCTAACTTGTCCGTCAACAGCAAAGATACGGTGGCAACACTTGCTGAACAAACCCAAGCAACTTTCTTCCTGCTGCTGCGGTTTTGCACAGCCCCAGACCCCATCTCACCACCTGCAATTGGCTACAGCCACCCTAATCACTGCTGCCCGTCCACCCTGCCTGTGGTCAGCCGCCTTCCCAGGCACCCCAAACATCTCACCGTACCCAGGATCACCCAACGGGCATTTGCTCTCACCGGAGACTGGCTGGCCATCTCCACTCCTGCCCGCAGGAACTCATTGAAGTCCTGCCCAAATTTGCCAGAGGACTTGGCCAGGTCTTGAGGGGTGCCACGCGACGCCTGCACCAGCTCGTTGGCGGACTGGTTGAGTCCCGCAGCCGCCTGGTTCAGCTGGCTCTGCGCCTCCTGGAAGCTCTTGGTGCTGGGAGGGAACTGGAGGCAAGGAGAGGGCTTAGGAGAGGCAGCGAGGATGGAGATGGAGGATGAGGATCTGGCACATGCTTGGGGATATGCTACAGAGGAACCTGGTGTGGACAGACTGGCTCGCACCCCTACAAAGCTTCCCCCTTGCCCTCCCGCCCCTGCTCAGCTCACCGAATCTGTGAGAAGCCTCTTGCTGGCCTCTCCCACCGTGCGGATGGCAGCATCCACATCCCGCTGCCCCGGCAGGCAGTTGACACAGCGGCTCAGAGCCTGTGACACCGCCTTGGCCACCTGCGGAGAATTAAAGAGCGGTCACCATCCCCCGGCCAGCCCCATGCCCTTCCCATGGGCTGGAGGGGGGCACCA